GTATATCAACTGTACTTTTAGACTCTAGCTATGGTATTTTTGTAAAAATAATTATCACATTTTTTTTTTTGTTATTATTATTATGGATAAAACAAAGTTAGAGTGACAAGTACTACATTTGAATGGTGAGAGTACGTATAGTATTTGTACTTTAGCCTCGAGCTAAGGCTGGTCATCTGATAACTAATCAACTATGGTACTTCTTTTCACATTTGTGTTGGTTATTTTATCTTGCAAATATATTTTTTTTATGGTCATAACCTAGTACCATTCCCTTGCTCTTGCTCATGCATATTGTATATATATGTATACTTACTACTCACAATATACTCGTGCCTATTTTCAGTTGTAGTTTACATTGAAGATTGAGATGCGTATAAATGAATCATTTTACGCGCAAAGAAATAGCTCTTTGCCAAAAAGACTAAGAAGGGATCAAGGGGATTACATTCGATGCTACCAACAACGAGAGTGTTCAAGTATTTTAGTCCCTATAGATGATCATGGACACTCTAGAAGTTTTGGTTCTAGGTCCCAGCAGCTAGTGGATGATTCTGAATACCCTGGAACATTTCACCCTGATCATTATATGACATTGATAAGACCAATAAATGCAAGACCAAGTATGATTTCTGTTAGAGATTACATAGAAGAGGATGTGCATCCGGATCAACCATTATCTCGGTCAGAGTTTCTTCATAGAGGAGAATATCCTGTTGATCCATCTTATATTAGCTGTGAGTGTTATTTCATTAGATTGTTTACAATTTACTTTGGATGAGAGAAATCAAATTAACAATTACTTCTGCTAGGATAAGTTGTTGATGTTTAGTTCAAATTACACTAGTGACAATTGGTTCTTGGATGGAGAGATTATATTTGCCTTCCTAACTTGTTTGCTAATTTTTTGTAGACCACCCGGATGAGCAAATGGCTCTAGATCAACAATCTTTGCGATCACATATTCCTGGAAGAAGCAGATATGACTCTCCATCTTGTGGTAATTGTGAATGTAATTGTGAATGTAATTTTATCACAAGTTTGTTTGCAATTTATTCAGACAAAAGACAGTCATATAAGTATCCTCTTCTGTTCAGTGATACTTTTACATGTTTAATTTCTTTCCCACTCTAATAATTATTGATAAAGTATACATTGTAGTGGAAAAGGCTTGGAGATAGGGCTATGGGGCTAGATTTTAATTCATGGCCGGCTTGTTGTGGCCTCATGGGTGGAATTTGGGTAAAAGAGGAGTGGAAATAGGGCTGTGTTTGGTTGGAGGAAATTCTTTATTTATGATAAAACTAATTTTCACATTTTAATGCTACAATTATTATGAAACAATCGAATAAGTTAGTTAAAGTAACAAGTATTGCTCGAGCTAAATCTGGCATGTTTTAGTTAAGGTATGATATTTCCTTTGGGAATTATGTATGTTGATTGAGTCATTGTACAAATAAAATACAGCAATGTTTCTGTTTTGCTCATACTTATTGTATATAGTAGCTGTGAATGTGCTTTAGATGGGAGAAACCAATTTAATACTCTATTAAGGTGACAATTCAGGAGGGTTCAATAGTTTGCCTTCTTAATTTGTTTGCTGATCTTTCTTAGCTTGCCTGGAAGAGGTGGTTCCGAACCAACCAATTTCACGATCAAGTTATCCTGAAAGAAGAGGCAGATATTCTGATACTCTGGGTCCGGATCAACCAATTTCACGATCAGGTTATCCTGGAAAAAGGAGGAGATATTCTGATAATCCATCTTATGGTAACTGTGAATGTTAATGTATCACAAGTTTGTGCTATTAATTTAAGTAATGCTATCTGAATGATAATACAATTAGATTCTAGACAAAGGGAAGAATGTTTACCTTCTTACTTTGTTTACTCATCTTTTGTAGATCGAGCAGGAAGGGATGTGGCATCATATACACGTTCTAATCTTCATGGAAGGAGAAGATTTTCTGAAAATAGCCGATCTTATAGTAGATGTGAGTATGATTACATAAATTTGTTTTACAATTTCATTTACCTGGGAGAAATCAGTATAAATAATACCTCCCGTCAGTATTTAGTTTGTTCAACATACAAGTATATGTTGTAGCATGATAATTAAATCTGGTCAGAGAGAGTAACCGTTAGGCTTCTTAATTTGTTTATACTGTCTTCTTTAGATCAACGAGACTCTACAAAGTATGAAGACCCTTATGAGGAAGCTAGACATCCAAGAAATTACAAGAGAAGGCATAATGAATATCATGCAAAACGATGGGAGGGCACAAAAGAACGTGCCTTTCATGGTCGGGATAGATTACCATACATGCGAAGTAGAATCACTACTTCAAACAGATCTTTCAAGAAAACCAGGACTAATTCTGCAAAGTTTGGTGGTACGTCGAATTCTCCTTCATATGATTCGAAAGGTAACTAATTAATGTATGCAGCTTACTGATTATATCAAGTAGTTTTAATTTTCTGATGTTTTTTGCTTGTAGTTGAATAATGTTTGAATCACGTAAATTTTGAAATTTCTTTCCAGGCTCTGCATCTGCCTCTGGTTCATACTCTGCAAAGGTGTTGGAAACGAAATCCTCAAAGGGCAATGAAGAAGTTGACTCTACTAATAAGCTTGCTGCTAATTTATCCAAAGATAATGCTGAATCTAACCTTACAAAGAAGCCGGAAACAATGCAGTTTAATGATAATGCAGAAGCTGACCTTTCAAAGAAGCTTGCAACAAAATCTTCCAGAGATGATGCAGAAGCTAACCTTACAAAGAAGTTGGAAACAAAATCGTTGAAAGATAATGCAGGAACTAATCTTACTAAGAAGCTTGCAACAGTAACGTCTAATGATGATGCAGAAGCTAATGCTACAAAACCATCCAAAGTTGATGCAGAAGCTAATGCTACAAAGAAGCTTGCGACAAAACGATCCAAAAATGTTGCACAAGTTAATGCTACAAAGAGGCCTGCGACAAAACCATCCAAAAATGTTGCACAAGTTAATGCTACGAAGGAGCTTGCAACGAATCCATCCCTAGGTAATGCAGAAGCTAAACTTACAAAAGAGCTTGGAACGAAATTGTCTGAAGATAATACAGAAGCTAACTTTACTAAAGAGCTTGGAACGAAATTGTCTGAAGATAATGCAGAAGCTAACCTTACAAAGGAGCTTGGAACAAAATTGTCTGAAGATAATGCAGAAGCTAGCCTTACAAAGGAGCTTGGAACAAAATTGTCTGAAGATAATGCAGAAGCTAACCTTACGAAGGAGCTTGGAACTAAATTGTCTGAAGATAATGCAGAAGCTATTCTTACAAATGAGCTTGGAACAAAATTGTCCCAAGATAATGTTGAAGCTAACCTTACAAGGAAGCTAGAACCAAAGCCTTCAAAACTAGATCAAAAAGAAGTCAAACTCGAAACACATGATAACGGTAAGCTATCAATTCTATCATTTCATATACTATTATACATGCATGTTTGGTCATAACTTTTATTTCAATAAATATAAACAAGATGTGGGACTTTATTTTTATAAGTTACACAGTAAAGAGGGGGAGAAAGTATCACTCGTGAACGTGACATGACCATAATAACAATTGGAACTTAGGTCATTGGTACATCTTTTTTAACTTGCTCTAAATCAGATGGAAATTACAAAAACTTTTTTTTTTTTTTTTTTTTTGGGTTTTTAAATGTACTCCTTTTATCTCTTAATGACTTCATTTACTTTCTACTTACAGAGTTAATATTTGGCACATATTTTTAGTAAACTTGGAATAAGTTATGGTTCACACGTTTTTTATTTAAGGAAAAGTAGAAGCAAAAGCGAGTGGTAAATAAAGTGTTGAAAAGGGGCGGTAGGATAAAAGGTTAAGGTAAAGTTTTATTCATGTAACTGATGTAAGTATGAGGCTTTAAGTAATTACAGATTTATAGGTGGTCTACTGTGTTAATTACACTAAGTCACTAAGGTTTAAGGTGGCCTAAACTTTAGCTCTAATGGATTATGCTTACAGCCAGAGTTTCAATTTCTTTAGCACTAAAAAATTTAAAGTTGTCCAACTTCTCATCTTATTTAAGTAGAGTAATATCATATAGAATGGAGGAATGAAGACTCCTCATTTTTTAGTTGTCAAAATTCATAGCTGCATTGTGTAATATTTGTGGTTGACACAGTGCTAGTAGAGTGGATTAAAAGTTAAATCTGTTTTATGGAAGATACTACTAATAAAGAGAAGATAGAGAGAGTGAGCCAATTATGAATAACGTAGGTGTGAAAAGTTATAAGATTGTAATAAATAGGTGGATAAGTGTAAGAAAAAGGTGAATTAAGTAAGAGTATCGTGGGAAAAAATGGGTTTGAATGTAAATGGGATAGGCAAAAAAATAGAATAAATCAAGTACGTGAGCAAGAAATTAAAGATGAGTAGAACTAAAAATGAACATAGAGGGTTTGAAATAGGTGGGGAGTCATTTAATTTACCGTGCAATATTTATAATTATAATTTTACCAATACATGTACAGAGTATATGATTTGAGATTGATAATACTACAACAAAATAAGGTTGATTTTTATCTTTTGTGAATGTCAACTATTCCTTTCGACCCTATTTGTTCTTTTCATTGTCTGATTAGAAAAGTTCAAATAACTATCTCATTTGGAATTTTTTCGTATGTTGTTAAAAAATTCTCATCATTTTCCCTCTAAATAATTTGATGAAATGTGCCAATATGTATTACTAATTGAATTTTTCCGTAATTAATTAAATTTCATTAGTAGTTGGCATTTCATTAATTATCTTGTCTATTTTTTGATTTTGAAAATTGAGATTATGAAATTCAAACCTTAGAATATCTATAATTAATACTCCTCCTTGCGGTAATGAAAACCTTGAATGGAACCGTCATCACCACAATAACAAAAATAGAGTAGTCGTAAATAAGCAATGAGAAAGTAATACTGGTATCGACAAATGAAGTAATTAAACGCCAACTGTATTTGTACCGTGAATCGTCAAGAGAGAGTCAAAAAGACAAAATTCTCTCTCCTACAATCTCCATTTCCACTTCCTCCTCTCTCGTCTCACACTTTTTCTTCTGCTACTGCTACTGTAACTGCATTTTTGCTATTTCCTACCTCTCAATGTTTACCCTCTTCCTTCTTCGCTGATTCTAACATTTCGTCGCTTTTCTCTCTTTCTCTCTCTCTCTCTCTACTTTCTCTCTCTACTTCTGCTACTGCATTTTTTCTCTCTCTCTACTCAATTTCTTCTCTACGATCACCTCCATTTCTCGCCAATTTCGTCGTTTTTTTCGCATTTCTAGGGTTTACTAAGCGTCGGAGTTTTTTACTGGTAATATTTGTGGAGAATTTTCGATTTTTTTTGTATAATTTGTTCTTAATATTTTTTTTAGAGTATAATTATTGCTTCATTTGTTGATAAATCTTCTGTCTTTTGTTTTAATCTATTCTTTTAAATCTCTGTGATTGTAATATACTTGATTTGTGATCAATGTTGGTTTATTTGGAGTTTTTGTGTTCATATTTGATTGTATTGTTTTTACTCTGCTTTATTTGATTTTTTTTATGTAATGCAGAAAATTTTATTTTAAAGTGTATGCTGAATGAATGCTTAAATTTGTGCTTTTGATTGAATGCTTCAAATGTGTAATTCTAGTCCTTTTGTCGTTGTCGCGGTGTTTGCTGCAATTGGTGGTGGTGCCGTGGTGGTGGATGAAGTAATGTGAGTGACTAGGCCTGATTTTTTAATAATCTTCGTATCACAACGGAGAAGCATTATGGAATTGTAGTTATTTGAGAGTAATAGCTTTGATGAGCGGATGAAGAATTGATGATTGTTTCATGCAATTGTAGTTAATTGAGAGTAATAACTTTGAAGATAGGAAGAAGAATTGAAGAATGAAGATTGTTCCTGTGTATGTAGTTATGTAATACGTGCTAGGCTTTTGAAACTAAGTTATGGAGTAGTGTAGGGAGTTTTGATGTGAAGTTATTTGTTGTAGAAACGCTGAGATTTAAGAATTTAAGCACATTATGAAAGCGAACTTATAATTTTTCAGAATCAATACAATTAAAGTTTGATGAAAAATCAGAAGATTACGTTGATTTATCTCAGTCAAAGCTCACAATCTAGTGTAATTTTGTAAGATTCAAGCGGTGGAGCCGGAAGAAGTGGTTGAGATTGGCCTTTTCTAGTTTATTTTGCTTTATAGTGGTTGTATGCCTTTTATAGTTTATCATTTGTACATATTTCTACCTCCCTTTTCTCACATGTTTAAGTTAGTGTTTGTAATACTGCGTTATTATTAATTTCTCTATACCATCATGTATTTACTAAGCTGGTCTACTGCTTGTTTTTTTGTGTGTTAATTTTTCTTCCTAGAAGCAACTCTTGGGAAAAACCATATTTGTCTTGATGAATTTTGTTTTTTCTAATCATTATGATTAATTTAATTTTATTATTTTCCTTTCACTAGGTTCTGAAATGATGGAATTGAAGGCCAATTTTTCCGCCAAGAAAGGTAAGTCTTTAATGTGGATCGAGTTGGTTTTTTATTGAAAATATAGTTGATCAATATTATTGTATGAAATTTACTCAAAAAAAATTTTTAAAAAAAACTTTTTTTTATGAATTGAGATCTTGAACACCAATCTTAAAATTGGCAAATTTATAATCCCTTTTTCTTTACTTCTAAAATGTGTAATTTTTTATTTATTTTATTTTTATTATTTTTTTCTGTGGCTTTTGCAGATGCTTCATCATGTCACATTAAATTGAAGAAAGATGGCAAATTTATTTGTTATGCAAAATGCACCAATTCTCTCATTCAACAGTATGTGCATTCTTCTTATTTTTCATGTCATGATGAATTTAGTTTGTGTCCTATTGTGCAACATAATAAAGTTGAGCTAATTCACCCCACTTCAATCAATAAATACCTCTATTTAGGGCCAATGTGATGGTCTTATTTATGTGCTATTGCCTATTAGCCTATTAACACTTATTCTTCCTTCTGTTTTTGGATATTGGAGATGGACTTGAAATTGAAGGCTTGTCTAATCCTTTTTAAAAGACTGTCAAATGGCCATTTTTTTGGTTGAAAAATGCTCTCTTAGGTATATCTTAATCTTGAATGGCAGATATACTCACGACTTTTGCTTTACCATATAAGTGAAATGCATTAATACAGTAGAGTGTGTATACAAATACAATACCTCCAAGAATGCTTAGTATGTACATCAACAATTATACATCTTCACTTTACTTGCAATTATCTTCATCTTACATAGTTCAGGAATGTGATTGTAATCTTTGCTACTTTTGCTCATACCTACTCATTGTTTACCATTCTTTCTTTGTCTATAAGAAAGATGATTTACTCATAGTTCTTTCCTTTTTTTGCGACAATAATTCTGAAAATGTCTACTGAATGTGGATTTTCTGGTAATCACTATTTTATTTCTAACTTGCAGGTCTTCCTCTTGGAATGTGGATATAGTTAAGAAGAAAACAGTTGAAGGTCTTCTTGATTTGCCAACGTTTTCACTTTTTCCGTCATTTATGCCAGTGCCTGAGAAAAATGTGACAGATCAGAAATCTGAATGGAATAGATTTCTTACCTTCCTTTACGACAACGATAAAGTTAGCATTACCCCCTAAATTATCTTTATCTATCTATATTTATGTTTTTATTTGGATAAACTTTCCTCTATTAGTAGATGGTTCTTAATTTCCAACTTGAATGAATTTATCAACTTCAAAGTGGCAGTATGCTGACTTTTGTGCAGCCTTAATACCAAATTGGTTTCATGACACTTTCACCCACTTCCTCCTAAACCCAATTACCATATTTCATGCTACCATGATGTGATTCATCAATTATTAGTTAGTTTTATATTTGAGGCAACTAATCAAAGCATAATCAGAGCCAATTTACTAGTTTTTTTTTTTTTCAAATCGCCATCTATTGTTATTTTTGGTAACTGAAAACTTTAAAAGTACTTATGTGAACTTTCTTGGAGATTTCTTTAGAGGATTGGCAAATGCATTTTACGCCTGCAGTCAGTATGTGTAATGATGTTCTGCTATTATGTTTTGAAGGTAGCTACTGTAAAACTTGAGAATCTGAAGATTCATGTATTTCCTTCTGCACGCGAGCCTAATGAAACAGATGATGGCCTGTATTTCTCCCAAGCTGTGGTGGCTTATGATTTGCTGGAACTATGTGACACCTCTGTGGATCAAGGGCATGCAACATCAGGTGAGTTCTCCCCCGAGTATCTAACCTGCACTGATTAGGTTTTCATCTCCTCCATGACCTTGGGTGATGTTGAGGAGTTTTTTTTTTTTAAAAAAAAAAAAACATATACAACGAAGCCTTAGTCCCAAAAGGATTAGGGGTCGATTAACATGAATCGTCAAGGAATTGTCCGCAATATATAGAATAAAGATAGAAAAGTGTTTTGTTGATATTGGACGGGAAAAAAAATGTGCAAAATAAACGGTGGCAGTGTAAAGTAAAAACCCCAAAAGAGGAAATAAAATTAAAAATTTGAGAAAGTTCTGTAAAAATCGGTGTAAGGGGATGTAAAAATAGATGAAAATTATGTAAAGTAAGAACACTGCAAAAGTTTGGAGAAAACCTCAACCAAAAAAATAAATAGAGTTTGCAAAACACAATGAGTTTAGGTAGCAAAATATAAGAAAAAAAGTAGGTCATGACATGTCATGGATTTAAATACTTTAGTACAAAAGGAAGAAAGAGAAAGATGGACGGAGTTGCTTTCATTTTCTTTTTCTAGGCATTCATTAAATGCATAATGCATCTACAGTGTATGTGTAATTGTATTCATAGTGATGCTTGCTGTATCTCTTGTGACACCTAATTGTACCTTAACTTCTCACGCTTTTCACATTAAGCAGTCTCACCAGATCCCAACGCCAAGGAAAAGTATGTCATAAAATAATTGTTATTGTCACCAAGGATGTATCCATTCGAAAATGCTTGAGGAAAGATTTTAGGCTGTCGTACTCAGAAATGCCTAATTAGAGAACTGTGAACCTAATCTTCAAGGAAATGTATGATTTGTGATCATAGCTGCAAAATTACAAATGGATCTGGTTCTTAAAATAAAGAGTATATCTCAATCTATGTTAAGTGTCGGATAGAGAAGTTAAAGAACTTATGAACCTTACAAACCATAGCTCAAGCCAATAATAATCTGCTGCACCCTTTCCTTCTCTATGAACAAACCATCAAATTTTTTTATGGTTATAGCTCAAGGTAATTGTGGCTACTAATTTGAATTTGTGGTTCTTACAGTTATGTGTGGAGCTACAACAAAGGCAGTGAGCTCATTACCGAGTACTAATCCATTATCGCTTTCCAATTCTCCACATCCCTCCATGAAACACGTTGCGTTTGAGTCAGGTGCTTATGTGAAGGGAAGTAGTTCAGCTGAAAAGGCTACCTGTTCCTCTATTTCCAAGTGTCATGAGCATAATAGTCTTCAGCTCTGTTCCACAAAGGAAGATGTTGCCGCAGAAAGAAATTTTGTTACAAACCCAAGTTATTTGAAAACTCTTGGTCATGCTCATTCTGGTTGGATCTTTGGTGCAATTGCAGAGCTTGTTGATAATTCAAGGGATGCAAGGGCATCAAGGTCAGTTGAAATTCTGTCTTCCAGATATTCACCCTTCTATTTAATCTTTTGTTTGTGTCAAATGAAAATCTTTTTGAGAATTAACAATATTTAAGCTGATCTTATAGCTAAGTTTATGTATTTTTATAACTTTGTGCAATTCATTGATTATGAATTTACTTCAGGTATAAAACTTCTTTTGTCCTTAACTAATATGCCACAGCTTTTGTTGGGCTTTCCCAAAATTTGTGCACTTTCTAAATTTTTATCTCTAATTTGTTTGTATCACCCTTAATCATAGGCCACATTTGAAACCTATCATGTGCCAAGGTAGAAGGTCTTGTTTGGCAAAATTAGCGGTGGTGGATAGCTTTTAGTGGTTGAGTAGCGAGTAGTTGTGACTTAGTAGTGGATAGAGGTTAACTCTCAATGTAGCGGTTAATAGTATGAATGTTTGGCAAAAATAGCAGTTGAAATATTAAAATACAATTAAAAAAAACACAATACATAATTTTTTAAAAAAGTACACAAAATTTTATTAAGGCTTTGATTGATTGTATTGTCAAATTCTACTTGCTACTTTCAAACGCTAACATTTTTAATGTTTTAGAAAAGCTACCAAAATGCTACCTCTACCACTAATCCTTACATGAAACGCTACGTTACCAAACACGGCCGAAATGTAATTTGACTTGGTTCAAATGCTACTGCCAAACTGGGCAGAAATGTAATATTTGCATAGGGAGTTTTGTATTTATAACTTTTCTTAATTCTCTCAAAATGACCCAATCAAATGTGGCTTATCATTTAGTCATGGATGGAGTACTACTTTGCGTCCTGTTATCTGCTATGGTTAACATCATTTATGAAATTTTTAAACAGGCTAGAGATTGCTGTTGAGACTATATTTGATAAGACTGCGGGATCTGAGATTCCTATGCTATCTGTAATTGATGATGGTGTTGGAATGAACCACCAAGAGATATTGAGTATGATTTCATTTGGGCACAAAGTACCTGATGAAGATAATCAAGATTGTATTGGAAGATTTGGTGTTGGTTTCAAGGTACTTTATCATCAAATTGTTTTAATTTTACATTGTCCTTGGGCAACCAGTGGAAGAGATAATATAATGAATACTGTTGTCAAAATTGAGGCTGAAATGAATTAGTAGATGAGATTATGTTGAGCCAAAATTTGTATCTGAGCTTTCTAGCCACTATGTCATCTGCTGTACACTATCTTCAGTTGACTTCAGCATGGCTTTTGTATGCTCAATTCCTGCTTGGTAGCTCTAGCTCCCTGATGCATTGTTGTCTGCAGGTGACTTTGTGATGACAGTATTTACAGTAAGGTAGATAGTTAAGATTCCCCATGAGGAGGGGCTTTTTTTGTTGCATCAGAAATTTGAATCGGAACTATCTGCATCATATAGTTAAATACTCTGCAGCATTAATTGAGGGGTTGTTGTGTGACTTATGTTCATGAAGTTTTATGAGCTCATTCAATGTTTTTAAATTTCTTGCTTTTGTTAGTTTGAAATGGGATCTTTCCTCCTCATCTAATTCAAGCTATGTTTTTTTTTTCTTTTTTTTTTTTGTTAGACAGGATCAATGAGACTAGGCAGAGATGCTCTAGTCCTAACACAGACAACGCATTCTCGTTCTGTTGCGTTTCTTTCACAATCATTAAATGAAGGAAAGGACGTAAGCCACCACAAACTGTTCTCCTCCCTGCCCCTCATCCACTCCCTTGTGTAAAATCTCTCTGTGAAACTCCCGACTTTTGCTTTGTATGTGTATACAATGTGGTTATAATCTGGGGTTCAAAATTTACCCCACAAATCTCTGTCTCTCTTTCCTTTAATGTGACTTTGTGTCTACTCAATTTCTTCTGTGTTGCCTATCTTAATAACATCAGTTGAGAACCCTCCCCCCCCCCCCCCTCTATGCTTGTGTAATACGAAGTAAAAGGTTTTGCTGCATGCAACAGAGTTCAAGTTGGATTAACAAGATTCATATAATCCGTTACAAATTATTATTAGAGTTGTTACTACATTAGTTGGTAATTTCAGCTGCTACAAATGTTTGGATATCTCTTTTTGTCTTGTATTAATAAGTTATGGTCAATTTTAAAAGCACTCTAAGTAAGAAAAAGACTGTAGTTTCCCAAATTCCCTAGGTAAACTGCCTTATTGCACGAGTATAAATTTTCAAGAGGACACTTCTGTAGCCCGTGGGCATTACTAAGTTGTTCGCAATTTACTAGATGTGCATGATTTTCATATCGGTATGTGTCTTCCAATGATGCAGAATGTGGAGATACCTGTTGTCAGCTACCGTCGACAAGCTCAGTGCATGGACATTGATACAAGTGTACATTCTGAAGCATTAGCAAAGAACAACCTGAATGCGATAAAGCAGTTCTCACCATTCAATGAGTATCTAATTGGTGAAAAGGCTGGCCTGTTTAGAGGAAATACAGGAACGCAGATCTATATATGGAATTTGGATAAATGGGGCGCAGAGTACACTTTGGAATGGCAAGCAGGCTTGTGCGGTGGGAGTACCTTTCACCAGGGTGACATTTATATTCGTTCTAGACGTGTCAGAAAACGTCCTGGACAGACAAGTCGAAAGGTGTGGAGCACATTCTCCTCTAATATTTCTTTCTTCTGATGCTATTTCTAAACATATTGTAAGTTTTTTTTTTTTTGCAAATTTTGCCTAGTATTGTATTCTGTCGATAACTTCTTTGTGTTATCATAACTTTTATCAAAGATTAGACGCTTTGCCTTTATCTAGAGTATATTTCTGTTTTATCATTTTTTATGTTGATATTTAAATTATTATTGACGTACCTGGTCAGCTTTATATATCGTAGTTAAGTGGCTATGCTTTTATAATTATGATTAATACTTATTGCGTTTTTCTCCACCTTGTTCCTTTCCAGGTTTCCTTAGATTATTCACTTCGTTCATATTTGGAAGTCATATTTTTAGAGCCTAGGATGAAGATATATGTTCAAGGCTCACTGGTAATTCCACTTTCTCTTGCTATTTTGTTTTATAAATTTCTATTTGTCTATTGGAGAATTGTAACTCCGTTTGAACAGGTTAGAAGTCGGCCCTTGGCCAAATCTCTAAATAATACTGCTCACCATAATGGCGACATAATGGGCAAACAAGTCCGGCTTACTCTTGGTCGCTGTCAGATAGAGTGGGATGAGGCTAACTGTGGAATATTCTTATACTGGCATGGCCGTCTAATTGAGGTCTGCAAGATTTTTCTTATTGCACGCTTCCTCATTTCCTTATTGTTGAGTTTCAATTTTATGGGTGTATCGTATATGTCATGCTTTAGTGGGAAAATCTAAAAATAGCAGTAGATTTCATTGCAATATATTCTTACCAACAAATAGGAGTTAATGTTTATGTGTGTGGCTGTGTGCATAAATACATGGCAAAGTATGGAACAGTGTTACCTAATTGGCTAGTATGAGATTGGATATGGCCATATGGGTATTCTGGTCGCTACTGAGTATCGTTATATTAGGCAAAATGCACCACATTCACGCTTAAATTTTCCTATCTCGGGTAATGTACTCGTGGGTTTTTGAAGGAACATTAAGTAGAATTGTTCGCTGTTATTTGGCCTATATATCTCTTAGTTATTATAGAATAGCTTATTTTGAAGGTGGTTTACATTCTGTTTTTATGTTTGTATGCAGCTTGTAGAAGTAAATTAGAAGATGAGTTTCCTTTCAGGCTTTCGTTGACAGGAGTATCAAATATATCAGTTGTTATCAATATATTATTTTGATAGTCTATAATCTCTATATGTCATGTGTTCTTTCCTATTTAATTAAATTATTTACCACTTGTTTCTTCATTGGTTTGAATATGTGCTTAATGATGAAATTATGTGATTAAGTTTATCTTTCCCCTAAAGTAATAACATGTTACCTCTTCTAATCTAGTGTAATAATGTTTTGGGAGAAAAAAATTCATTTTATCACCAGAAGGTGCCTGCTTTTGTTTGCTTTTCCTATGACAGGAAAGTGGTTGATGAATTAAACTATAGATCTACTTAAAAGCTACAGCAATTTGTAATAATTATAATGCCTACTGTTCTTCTGTACTCCCATTCTTCCTCTACCCCTAACCAAAAGCGACCTTATTTTCTCTCTTGCCTTTTTTCTTTCTTTCCAGGCATACAAAAGAGTAGGAGGCATGGTTCACAGTGCTGATATGGGTCGAGGTGTAATTGGTGTCATAGACGTTACTGAACTAATGGTGAGCCACTGACCCCCCCCCCCCCCCCCCACTCTCCCAAATAATTTACACCATGACATCAATGCTTCTGGTGACAATCTTGTCTGGATTAGAATAGAGCCTTAGAGGGCTGAGACCGATTGCACATCACCCATGCAATTTGAATAAAGTCTTTTATTACAAAGTATTATTTGAGCAAATTAAAAGTAAATTCGGTTTGATCTGCTGTAATTTATTTCTCTAAATATTCTTCCTGGCTAACGTTGACAATGCTGTACATGTCATTATGTAATCATGTATTCTACAGCCAAAAAAAAGGTTTGTCTTTCCTGTTTATAATTATGGTGTGCAGCTAAATTATTGTTTTTTTCACCTTTTGGGCACAGGATGATGGGAATGGTGGTGTTTGGGTTCATAACAACAAGCAAGGATTTCAAGATTGTGAGCCATATGCTTTGCTTGAAGAATGGTTGGGAAAGCAGGCAGATGAATACTGGGATAAGTTTTTTGATCCAGTACAGTTGGTATGTTATCTGTATATTCTACTTTTATGCTTGCTTGATTTTTCTTTCTATGCCTACACTTGTTATTCCAGATGAACAATGATCACAGTTACATTATAATACTTAATATTGTTCAAACTGCTATATTTGTGTTATTGATATTTTAGTCCTGGTTCATTGATTAGGCTCACTTGAATATTATATATTGGCTAGCTTGGAAATTCATTAAACTTTAGCTCTTGGAAAAATTAACATAACGATCAAGAAAAAAGAAGAGCAAGCTTAGTTTACAAGACTAAAGGTGGAATTATATGGACCTCGGTTATGGCAATTTTTGTGGCATAAAGACACTGAGTCACTCTGATGTTTTATTTTCCCCTCCTCCTTTCCTTGCTGTACCACTGCAGCTCTATTTGTGCTTTGTCAACTGAAATCCAGTGTCATTGTTGGCTAAGAGCAATATTCTGCCATGGTTGGAAGGAGTTCAGAAATAATTGTCTTTCATGCAATATTGTGCCATCCGGCCATCCCCTCCTGGTAGCTGTGTTGGCTATCTTGAAGCTGGCAATAAGATTATGGCAGAAACAAATGATGAACTCTCTGGGGAAGGTTAGTTGATGGGGGTTTAAGGATCAGATAGAAAAGGAAGAGAAAGACTATAGGTGTAGGAGTGGTAGCAATAAATGGGCCACAATGGCCCATGAATGGCCTTGGAGCAACTTTACTCAGGCTTTCCAGTGGCCTTCAACCCCTCTCTGATCTATAGTCGGCAGATGGGTTTGGGGGGAGGTTGAACATTCCTCCCCCCCACCCCCCCCCCCCCCCCCCCAAGTAATGAATATTCTATAAGCTAAGTGTTGGCTTTAGGCAGGTAAGAAGCAGTCAGACAAAGCTCTTTCTTTTACCTGCTTTAAGCATTATACAATTTTGACGGGTTTAAATGTCAGTCTGTGGTTTAGTAATTACAATAAATGATCGTTTGATGTCAGTGCTTAAGATTCATTGGAAGAAGAGTTATTACATAATCATTCCTTGTATTTTGATAATTTTTTTTCTCTTTTTTTTTTTTTTTGTTTGTTTTGTTTTGTGTGTGTGTGTGTGTGTGTGTGTGTGTTGGTAATGTAGCATTTTTAAGATTGTGAACCATGTTTATTTAATCCTTTTATTGTCTGTTAATAGTATTGTCTAGTGAGGTGCTATATGGTGAACTTGCCTGCAGTATGAACTAAGAAGTGTTTACTTACCTGGTTTTCCGTATTGCTTTTGCAATGAGACCAGATAAACTTGTTGCGCTGCTTGTTTACTGCTCATTTTTTGTATAATTATTATATCAATTATCTAAATTGCTGACATTATTTAAGCTAATGAGATTTTTAAGCAGTTTAGGTTGTGTAACTTGATTTTTGTTTGTGTTTGTGTCAGAAAAAAGGTCATGCTCGATACAAGCCTGATAATAATTGGGTGCAGTGTGACAAGTGCAGGAAGTGGAGATTATTGGACGCTGATTTTGACAGCATGAATCTACCTAAAGACTGGTATTTTCCTTACAATGATTTCTTTGAATTATCTGATCTTTTGCTTTTCCTGTTGCCCATGAGAATGGTTTAAGTTTTTAAATTAAGCTGTACCAAATTTTTGTAAGTTGTCTTTGTAGAAATGACACTTGCGTAGTTGCATGAGTGAAAAGTACAAATTTTAAACAACAAAAATAAGAAAAAAAAAAAAATTCAATGATGTTCACTTCTTACCTGTTTTAAATTCTAAGGTATTGCCAAAAGGGCAACATTTTGTATTAATGTATATCAAGTTCTGGTTTTTAAGCATTATGAGAGTTCCTGTTAATAATGTCATGTACCCATGGTGCTGAAGGTTTGATGATAAACTGACACATATGTAAATGGTTGAGTGATTTTATCCATTGCAATTTCAAAATCTCTATTGCTCATTTTGAGTTGGGGTAGGGAGTCATCTCTATGTACTATTTCAATACAACTCCTAATTAATATAAATGCGATCAATGGGACAATATTTCAAGTATGGATGGAATAGGGTTTTTAACCAAGATGAATCAGTCTTTTTTCCAAAAATCTCAAATGTCATTAATGGTATGGCTCAATTTTATCCTGCCCTTGGCATCCAAAGCCAGAGGTATTGCGATATTGATAATGTGTTCTCATTTCTTCCTTTTTCTCCCCCTTTTTGGTCTATTTTAACAGGTTCTGTTACATGGAACCTTTCAATGGAAAATGTGAAATGCCTGAAGAGAAGCCTGGCCGTGGGGTAATCACAGTGGGGCTGAAGAGGTCATCTGGTCATGATCCTAGCAAAACTGCTGACTGTCAAGGCTTACAGATTGATAGTGCTAGTCCTACAGCAGAAGGTATGTACTAAGCCTGCCTTGGTTTCTTTTTATTATGATGGATAGTCCATTTGAATTGGTGGCTTGTTGCCCGATTATTTCAAGAACTTAAAGTCAAAGTTATAATTTTTATACTGAAACACAAACACTAAGTTGAACTTCCTTGCTCTTGTGGGTCCCTTCTGCACCCATTTGTGCTAGTATGCAACACCTTGAGTCTGGGGGTGCTTTTTGGCAGTTAAGACCACAAGAAGAATGGATCTGTTTGGCTGTATCGGTGTGAGAGTGGGCCGTGGGGGTTAAGTGGGAGGGTTCTAGAACTCAATTTCATAAATCAAGGTTTTTGATTAGAATAAATCCCGTCTCCTCCTTCATACTGTGCCACTCACCACTTCCTTCCCTCTCTATCATCTCATACTCTAGTGCTCCTTGCTCCCAAACTCCTCGTGATCTCACCCGTATGGCCATACCACAACCTAGGAATCCTAAGCCTGAAAGACTGTGTTTTCTCCATAGTGACTTTATGAAAATATGTGCTTGTGGAAATGACTGTACTTCATGTACATTGTTATTCTTTCACTTAAATGTGCTTTCTTGCTTATCCAATCTTGATTTACAACTACATGTGTATTCTATCTTTTAGCAGTGGGTGAAGACAAGTCAACCCAATCAGCAGAAGGTGATGAAAAAACACCTGTTAAAAAGGCCAGAAGAGGTGAGTCGATTGCTTATGCAGGAATTATTAACTTCGTCACTTTTTTTATCATTTGCAGGAATTTTGTTTTGTTTTAGAGCATATGCTCATTTTTTTACTCCCTCCGTTTTATATTGTTCTTCTCAGTTATGATCTCTTGATTTCTTTGTGAGACAATGGTCAAAGTAAGAGGGAGTAATAAAATGTTTATTTGGATCTTATCTTAGGAAAGGGTCAAGACAAATCAACTCCACCAGCAGAGGATGATGAAGAGATTCCTGTCATTAAAAGACGTAGGAGAAGTGTGCAAAATGCTAGGAAGTACATACAGGAATAGTGAGTTTTAGCACATTTTGAAGTATTGATACAGAAGATTCGCTAACACATACTTTTTGGGTTTACTCGTGTATATATGACTAGGGTGATCTTCTGCTAGATAGTAGTCGCCATTTTGTCTTGATATTTTTCATTTTGGCTTGTGTATACCGCATGGTAGATGAAATTATTTTGTATAGGAAGGCCGTTCACAATTTCTCATGCACAAATCAGGTGAAGAATGTAAAGCTCATTGCTGTTACTGAATTTTGTTTAGGTAGAATTTTTTGGCAAGCTCCTCGGTCCTCAGTGAATATAGCTTATGATTATAGTTGTGAATATAGCTCATTGCTGTTACTGAATTTTGGCTTAAGACAAGTACATGCTTATGGTTATGTTTTGTATTGAATAGTGGTTTACTACTCAACCTAGTGCAAATTTTTTGTTTTGTTTATCGACCTCATCTTAGGGCTTATGTCTTATAGTAACGGTGGCATTGGTCGTGCGCTCCTGCCATATCAATGATCCAAGGGATTAAGCCCTCGTGCATACTTTTATTCACTGGTCAAGGTCGTCATATTCTAGGCCTTCTGGCTCATGAAGAATCTGCCCATTGAGGAATGTTTGCGTAATTGCGTTACAACTTACAAGTTTATTCATGTTCAGCTGTGTTAAAATATAAAATAAAAAAACACCATAGTTTTGACATTAATCTAACTTATAATCAATCTTATTGATACATTTTATATCCAATTATAGTATTAATTCACTAGTTTAGATATAGATTGTTCTATTTCAAATGGTAATCTCAATCAAATTTCAATATACTTCATTAAACGGTAAAAGTGTAAATGGCATGTGAGTCCTTAGTTTCAGCTACTACACACCCAAACATTCAAAGTCGATCACATTCTAACTTCTGTTTACCAATAAAATTTAAAAGTTAAAAAATGTAGGTTCCAAATGGAGCAGATGTGAGCATAAAAAGGAACAACATCTGTAACGATGAGACCCTGAATTATAATTTGCCAGACTCGTAACTGTATCAGCTACTTTGATTTAACATCATTAAATCTGATACTTGACTAATGTCTGGCATTATGCAACATTTTACAGTTTCGACTACAATACCAAATTTTGTTATATGTAATACTAAGGGCTAGTTAAATCGATAAATCGACAAAAAGGAAAAACTATCCCAACCCGGACAGGGATTTTTACCGTAGTAAAAGGGTAAAAAAATCCGGGATATTTTGGGCATAAATGGTTGGGATAATTTGATGTAGCTGATCATAGAAGATGTAGAGAAGGGTTTTATTTTAATTAAAATTTCTTTACACTACATTACCAGCATTTCAAAATTCAAGAATCCAACCAAATAAAATCATTTTTATTAAAAAACTATCAAAACCCAGAAAAATAAAACTCTAATTTTAGAGAGAAAAAAATGTATCAGATCGGGACAACGGTGGGTTGCTAGAGAAAAAACACCCACCAAGTCAGATGATCGAAATTTAATTTGGCTGGTCTCAGGAAGCATCTAACACTAGATTAATCTAGATACCGCTTTTCCAGCAAATATATTTATACAAAATCGAAAAGAAATAATAGCGATTTGGGGTTTTACGCAATAAAATTACAGAAATATAAATAAATTTGTACGAAATATAAAGAGGATAGAAAGAAATAAAATGATGGTTTATAGATTAAGATGTGAAGATGGAGATTCATGGCGTCGACTGGTAAATTAATGGAAGTGATTAGCATGTATTTATATGAAGAAAGAGAGAAAGGGGGTTTTAGGGTTTCGAAGAGAGGTTTAATTGGGTTTTTGGGTTGTTTTTTGTTAAGGTTGATTTTGGGCTTTGTTTGGATTTGTTTGTTTCTTCGTCCAATATCTTTATGGGCTTATTGGTGTGTTGTGCTGACTTTTCTGCCAGAAAATTTGTACGCACCATTACATAATAAATGGTGAAAATGCTAAGTGTAATAATGTGCTAAGTGTAATAATGTGGATGAATCCAATTGTTTGTTTGTTACTTAAGTTTGGTGAAAATTCTAGGCAAAAAAGGCACCAAAATATAATGACATGACGTAAGGTTATGGACTTATGATGTCCTTTTTTGAGGAATGACAACATTTATAGAATTATAGTTGAGATATTTGAGTTTAGTACGCAATAAGTTCTGTCCATGAGGTTTCAAATGAAAGAAAGGGTCGACTATCTAATGGTAATAAATTTTTGTTTAACTTCTTAAGAAAGAAATCTCATGTCTTTGTTTATTACAATGTATAATGGATTATTGGATCACTATTTACAAGCAATATCATGGACATTGACACAAGTATTCTCTTGCAAAAATATAATGTAAATTTATTGTCTTGATCATTGTATACGTAATTAGGTACTATCGCGTAACAAATTTACAAATGTGGGTATACCTTTTTTTTTCCCCTCTAGTCCCTCTTCCGTAGCGTTTGTAAAATACAGAGTATACACTATGTTACACTACCAATTTCACAATTTATCATTTACAATTAATTTAAGATTACATTGCTAATTAGGTCTTGTAATTTGTAGGCCTGCCTTCTTATCTTTCTTTTCAATATTTTTCATGATTATAATTAAAAGTAGAAAATAGCCATTTTTTTCAAAATGGGATAAGATTTTGTGAAGAGCAAGGGTCTTTACTCCATCATTTATGCTGCCTAAAATCAAGCAATATCAACCCAGGAATAAGATGAATAGATAAGAGCACAAATTTAAGATTTATCTAATTTTAATAAAACATGTAGGATTAATTAATCTAATTTCGTGGTCAATCTACTTGCATTTATCTTGAGTTATAGAATAATTAGTCTCCATCACCTATCTACTTGATAGCATACATTGCACATATATTAATCTATCTTCAAACAAATATACAATCCGTACAATAAACACAATTAGTTGCGTCATTTATTATCTTTGATTATAGATGAAATTTATTTAGTTTGATTTCAATTAAGATTAGAGACGCATTCATTATCAAATGAGAAAACCTAGATAAGATCACTTGATCATTTTGTCAATGTTTATAGTGTGTGAAAGAAAGGTCATCTATGACTATAAATATTAAATATAATTCAAAGGATATAATACATCTTAGGTAGCGTATAATTCAATGCATTTGGTGTCAATCTCTTTCAAAACGTATACAAGTATATATTATGTATTTAATCGTACTCGTAACTCGTGGTGTATATATTTGGCTAAAAATATTGCATGGCGCAAACATGACGCACCTAGTATTTATTTCATTATGTACGGAGTATACTTTACTCTATCTCCTTTCAATATAAATCTTAATGACTCATTTAATTCAAAGTTTAAGCTTATGTAAAGTGTAATGTGTCGTCATAAGATATTCTTGATTTTTTTTTTCTTTTATACTTGTATACATTAGATGTTTATTGAATATGTGGTGTGTTAGAAAAATGACAAATTACACTCCCTTGGTTTTTTAGTTTCACTTTTTTTGCACAATTTCAAACCTGAAACCAATAAGTATGCATTATAAAGACGATAAAAAGGAAAAAAAAAATAGTTGCATTTTGAAATCACGGTAACTATAATTCACTTATTTTAAGCTTATCAGGAAGAATAAGTTATAACAAGGGTTACATACCTAGGTTTAAATAATAACTAAAACAAGCTTTAATAAGTTTATAAATTCCAATAAGTAAAAACTAAGGGTCTGTTCATATTTACTGAACTGAACTGATTGGAGCTGAACTGAACTGAACTGATTGGAGCTAAATTGAACTGAACTGAACTGAATTGAGCTGAAATGAATATTTTATGAGAGAGAGAAATTAGAAGCTGAACTGAACTGATTGGAGCTGAACTGAACTGAAATTAAGTAAATGTGAACAACCCCTAAGGGTCTGATCACTTTAGCTTAATTTCAGTTCAGTTCCTAATTTCTTCTCTCATAAAATATTCATTTCAGTTCAGTTCAGCTTCAATCAGTTCAGTTCAATTCAACACGGTTCATTAAATGTAAACATACCCTAAGTGAATAGAACACACCCATATATGGATTCAACAAAATCATGTGTACATTTGTTATACTATAGAACAAGTGATTACAAATAGCTAGATATCAAACAAACAAACCAAAAAAAAAAGTTTATCATAGGTAAATATATACTCTTACGTTCTAAAGGGCTGTCATTAAAGTATAATCCACATTTTTTATTTTTTATATAGTACATTAACTATCAATACTTTAATTTATAATCTATAAGTTGCATTGCTTTATTAATTTTGTAGAAAAATACACTATTACGTGAGCAATATATATATGACGAACAACTTTCCACAATAAGGAAGTTTCCAAGTGTTGACGCAAAAAGTGGTATAGTATGTGTGATTGTGTGAATGTGTGTGTTATTAGGGGTGAGCAAAGACCCAGGGTACCCGGTACCGGACCCGGAACCGGTTAGGATCCGCCGGGTCCGGACCCGGAACTGGTCCCACCGGTTCCGGGACCGGGTCCAAAATGTCGGACCCGGTTGTAACCGGTTCCGGGACCGGGTCCTAAAATTTCGGACCCGGTACCCACTGGGTACCCGGTTTAAACCAATTCCAGTTCCGGGTACCCGGTCCCGGATCCAGACAATCCGGGTACCCGGAACCGGTACTGATTTAGTTATAAAAAATTATTTTTTTTTTAAAAAACCCAACAATCCACAGTCCAATACAACATTAGGCCCATTTCATCCAATTCATTTCTGCTAGGGTTTCTGTCAGCCACTAAGCCTCCTCATTTCATTGAATTCATTTTTGCTAGGGTTTTGTTCTTCTCTGTTCATTCTCAATCTTCTCTGTTCTCCTCTGAAAATCTCATCTTGTCTTCTTTCGTTCTCATCAATTCACTGATTCTCGGTCTTCTTTCGTAAGTATTTTTCTCTTGGTACTCAAAATCTCATCCTCTCTTTCGTTCTCATCAAGCCACCGAACGACTGTCTCTTTCGTAAGTATTTTTCTCACTTTGTTTGCTTTTTGTTTCATCTTGCATATGTAGATCTCTGGTACTGTTTATTGCTGCTTGCATTTTCTTTGGAGATAGTTAGAGTGTTTATGTTAATTTTAATTTTTATTTTCTTCAATTTCTGAGGGTGTTACGAGTGTTTAATATGCTGAAATCAATGAATTGGTACAAATTGACTGCACTTATAGTCTTTTTCTGCAATTTCTGGGTGTTTGAATAGATTCTTATTGAGTATTAATTGGTGGGTACCATTTTTAG